TCCTGGTTCAAGCATAAAGGATGATTTAGTCTGTTTTTATATGTGCGTGAAGGGGTATTCATTTGAAGATTCAGGCTTATCATGTTTTCTTTAATACCTTTTGTACAAGGAGTCACAGAAAGCCTCTGAAGTTATGCTAGGAGGCCTTGATATCATTCTGAGAGGGATAGATAGAAGTAGACTCATAAGTTAGATTATCTAATTTCTTACCATAAATACTTTATAAATTTTATGAATAGGAATACATACACAGAATATTTTACCTAGGTTAATTATTTGAAAATCTCTTTATGAAAATGTCTTGAGGGAATGTGAATACATAATTAGAAATTGTCTAGTAGAAGAAAAATGTAGTTCCATGGTTAAACATATTGGTATTTTGATGAGGATTGTATTAAAACTATAAACTGATGCCACAGCAATACAAAATGCCATCTGTGAATACTATGAAAATCTCTATGCACATACACTTGAAAGCATTGATGAAATGCACAAATTCCTGGAAACACACAACTTCCCAGGGCTCAATTGAGAAGAAATAGAACTCCAGAACAGACTCATCACAACTAATGAAATCAAAGTGGCAATAAAAACAATCTTCCAACAGAAAAAGGCCCAGACCAGATGGGCCAATAGATGCAGAAAAAGCATTCGACAAAGTTCAGCACCCTTTTATGATAAAAACTCTTAACAAAATTGCATAGATGGCCCATATTCAACATTATAACAGCCACATATAACAAATCCATAGCCAAAACCATACTGAATGGGGAAAAGTTGAAAGCATTCCCACTCAGAACTGGAACAACACAAGGATGCCCACTGTTGCCACTTCTATTCAACATAGGGCTGGAGGTTCTAGCCAGAGCAGTCAGGTAAGAGAATGAAATTAAGGGTATTCGAATGGGGAAAGAGAACGTCAAACTACTGCTCTTTGCTGATGATATGAATTTATTCTAGAAAACGCTGAAGATTCTGCCAAGAAACTCCTGGAATTGATAAATAAATTCAGCAAAGTCCCAGGCTACAAAATCAATGCACACAAATAAGTAACATTCCTATACACCAACAACAGTCAAGCTGAGATTCATATCAAAGGCTCAATGCATTTCACAATAGCTACAAAGAAAATAACATACCTACAAATGTATTTAACCAAGGAGATGAAAGATCTGTACAAAGAGAACTATGAATCACTGAGGAAGAAAAATGCAGAGGACATAAACAAATAAAAATAAAAGCCATACTCATGGATCAGCAGAATCAATACTATTAAAATGTCCATACTACCCAAAGTGATTTACAGATTCAATGCAATCCCCATCAAAATACCTCATTTTTATGGCAACATCCAGAAACAAAGGAAAAATATAAATTAGAAAATAATAAAGAAATTTATTTTTTTAATTAAAAAATATTAAAAAAATACCTCATTTAGCTTAAAGTCCTCCAAGCTTATCTATGTTATCACAAATGGCAGGATTTCCTTCTCTTGTAAGGCTGAATAGTATTTCATGGTATATACACACCACATTTTCTTTATCCATTCATCTGTTGATAGACATTTACATTGTTTCCATATCATAGCAATTATGAATAAGGCTGTAATGAACATGGGGATAAAGATATTTCTTTGACAGATTTATCTATTTCCTTTGCCTATATGCTCAGAGTAGGATGGCTGAATCCTAATGGTAGTTCTATTGTTAATCTTGAGGAACCAGCATGCTGTTCTCCATAATGGCTAAACCAGTTTACATTTCTACCAGTTTGTATAAGGGTTCCGTTTTCTGCACAACCTCATCATCACTGTTATCTTTTGGCCTTTTGATGGCAGCCATCCAAACAGGTGTGAGGATATATTTCATTGTGGTTTTGTTTGCATTTTCCAGATGATTAGTTATACTAAGCACCTTTTGCCATTTGTATGCCTTCTCTGAAAAAATATCTCAGGCATTTTGTCTATTCTTTAGTCAGGTTGTTTGTTATTTTGCTATTGAGTTGTATGAGCTTCTTGTATATTTTTGATATTAACCGCTGCTTAATAAAAATGAAAATGAATCCATAGTTTCAATATACTCCACGTCCAGTGCCCAAAAACATGTAAGCAAAACTCAAGTTATCTTGATTTCCTCAAGCACTGTTCTAATCATAAACACAAAAACATACATGTCCTTGTCATCATGACTTAATGAAATTAAACCAATCACTTATAGGCAAAAATCAGCTTAAACAGCTTTGTTTTCCTAAAATATGATGTTAATATATAACAACTAGTCATGAAATGTGTTCAAATACTTTCTCCTTTGTGTTTTTAAGCTGGGCCATAACTACTGTAACTGAAACTTCCTATAACTTCTTTTGAAGTCACCTTGATGGTGATCATATCCTTCTCTTATTGTATGACGGTAAACTTTTGAAATTTTAACTTTATTTTTGACACACTTTATTAAATATATGGTTTCATTCTGTGGTTTGCCTTTTCATTTGGTTGATAGTTTCCTTTGCTGTGTAGAATACTTTTATTTCAGTGTTGTTGCTTGTGCTTTTGGTGCATATCTAAAAATAAAATTATTGCCAAGATCAAGATCATGGACTTTTCCCCATGTATATTCTTGCAGGAATTTTATAATTTCAGGTCTTTCATTTAAGGCTTTAATTCATTTTGAGTTGATTTTTGTGTATGCTATAAAATTAGAATTCAATTTCATTCTTTTGCATGTGGATATTAAGGTTTCCCAACACCATTTATTGATGAATCTATTTCTCCTCCATGTGTATACTTTGTGCCATGTCAAAGGATAGCTGATTGTACATGCGTGGGTTTATTTCAGAGCTTTTGCTGTATTTTTGTGTGTGGGCCAGGTCCATACTGTTTTGGTTATTATAGATTTGTAATATAATTTGACATCAGAGAGTATGTTGCCAGCTTATTTTTTTCTCAAGATTAATTTAGCTATCTGGGGTCTTTTGTAGTTCCACACTGATTTTATGATGGTATTTTTCTATTTCTGTGAAAAACGCTATAAGAATTTTAATAAAGATCGCATGAAATCTGGAGTTTTGTACATTATGGACATTTTTGACATTATTAATTCTTCTGATCCTTGAACATGGAATATATTTCAATTGTGTATGTTTTCTTCAATTTCATCAATGTTTCATAGTTTTCAAAGTACAGAGCTCTCACCTCTTTGGTTTAATTTATACCTAAGTATTTTATTCTTTTTGATGCTATAGGAAATGGAGTTGTTTTCTTTTTATTTTTTTTTGAGACAGAATCTCACTCTGTTGCCTAGGCTAGAGTACCGTGTCATCAGCCTAGCTCACAGCAACCACAAGCTCTCGGGATCAAGCAATCCTCCTGCCTCAGCCTCCCGAGTAGCTGGGACTACAGGCATGCACCAATATGCTCGGCTATTTTTTTTTTCCATATAGTTTTAGTTGTCTAGCTAATTTTTTCTATTTTTAGTAGAGACAGGGTCTTGCTCTTGCTCAGGCTGGTTTCGAACTCCTGACCTTGAGTGATCTGCCTGCCTCGGCCTCCCAGAGTGCTAGGATTACAGGCTTGAGCCATGGTGCCCGGCCCTTTCAAATTCTTAATATTTGCCTTATATATTTTATTTGCTCCCATGTTGGGTGCATATGTACATATAATTTTTATAGCCTCTTGATGAAGTAACCCCTCTATCACAATATTGTGGCCTTGTTTCTTCTAACAAGTTTTGACTTAAATTCTGTTTTGCCTGATGCGAGTATAGCCACTCCCTGTTTTCTTTTAGTTTTCAGTTGCATGGAATATCCTTTTTTAAGCTTATGCTATGCTATGGTCTGAATGTTAATGTCCCTCTAAATTTCGTATGGTGCATCCTAATCACCACGGTGGTTGTATTCTGTAGAAAGTGAGGCCTTTTCAGGTGCTTAGCTCATCAGGATTTCACCCTCATGGATTGCATTGGTGCCCTTAGTTAAAAACAAAACAAAACAAAAACTTTGTGAAACTTCCTTGCCCTTCCCACATAGCAAGAAGACACCATCTCTGAAACAGAGAGCAAGCCCTAACCAGATATCAAATCAGTTGGCATCTTAATCTTGGACATGCCAGCCTCTACAACTCTAAAAAATAAAGTTCTGTCTCTCATAAGCCACCCAGTCTATGACAATTTGTTATAGTGGCCCAAATGCCCTATAAGTATATGCATAAGTGTTAATATTACCTACAAAGATAACTTCCTTATTATTACAGACATCCTTTACATTTGTGAAACCTGACTTTCTGCAACTCAACCAATTTATCTAAGTCAGGATCACTAACACTGGAACAGCCTTGGTATATAAGCTACTTGATGCTGCAATGATATAATCAATTATCACAGTAAAATACTTTTATCTTATTATTAATATCTTTATATTCACATAGAAGTTTTACTTTTTTTAGAAATTAAAAATGTTTCCAGCCAAAATTTATTTTAACTAATACTCTTTGAAATGAATGAACGTAAAAATACATTTCAGGATTTCATTATTGCAATTTCCAAAACCCTTCTAGCCAAAAATTGTTAAAATGTTATTTAACCTTAAGATCATGACCAGTGAGGTCCTTGTAGCTCTCAATTTGTATTGCCTTGCTTTTTAGACATATTTATTTTAAAGTAAATGATTTTTGTGGTTCAAGAGTGATATTTGTTAAATTTAGAAAAATCAGAGGATACTGATATGTGTAAAGGAGTTAAACAGCAACTCTTAACCTTATTGTCTCTAAGCATCAATATGGAATTTTACCAAATTTGTTGGATTTCCTGCCAACTTTGTTCCATAAACATTAATTCATGTGTGTGCATGCAAGTTCATTTCGGTGAGTTTATATTATAAATGACAGAAGGTTTTCATTACTTTGTATGTCAGTGTTGTAATAGTTATATACCAAATTAAACTTAAATTCCTCTTTATAATTAGTTTGCTTTATTAACTGTGCTAGATTGACATCTTCTGAAAGCTTATACATTTCATTTTTGTGAATTTATTAATTAATAATAAGGAGTAATGACTTACATCTTATCACTAACTTAAGGTATGACTTAGGGTGATTTTCATATGTGTGTGAAGTGATACAATTTCAAAGACAGAGACAACGATGTCTTTCTCATTTACTGTGAAGCAGAGAGCATCAGGAGCTATATAGAAAGCGCTGAGCTATTTAGGAGAGTGATAGATAAAAATGGACTGTGATGTAATTGCATCTAATTTCTTACCATAGATATTTTATAAATTGGATCCATAGCACTTTGGTTTGCCAAGTTTTAATATGACGCTTTTAAGAAGTGAGGCACTAGTCTCAGATTATAATTACATTGTCACACCTTGACAAAAAGTCTTATTTATGAATAAAAATGAGTTTAACAATACTTGGAATATAAAAATGAGAACTGGATTAATAACTAAAATTCTTAATAAAGGTGTGCATTTTATTAACCCCAGGAAGAACCATGCGGGTCTCTTTCACAGCTGGGATACTCCAGTTTCCCATCCTGACACTTCGTTCGAAAGGGTGGAGATGTTGCTGCCAGGCGGTATCTGTGTTTACACATGAATTCAACAGTTTCACCTGTTTGGGCATAAAACTTCTGTTGGTGCTTCCACCTTAACATTATGTTATATTTTTCCATGATTTCTTCTGATATTACACACGGTTCTGAAAGTAGAAAAAAATGAACATAAAACATTTAGTAGTGTCGTATAATGGTTCAGGAATTCTTTCTCAAAACCCTTTCCAAACTAGCTCTGTAAAAACATAATTTAAAAGTTAAAATGATAAATGACATGTAAATTAGGTACCATGTTTAATGTGTGCTGATAGTTGGGTATTATTATCAAAGATTCACAACATCAATTATATTAAGAGCCTTGCATTTTGGAGCCCATCATTGCTGTTTTTGTTTGACTAGATGTTGATCAAATGGTACAAACTAATGTAGACCATGATATCTATAGCTAATAATACTGGTATTTTTTACTGGAAATTCAGTAAGACACCAGATTTTAAGTGTCCTTACAACACACACATACGCATCCACACATACACAATGGTAACTATAGGTGATGTGAATGTGTTAATTACTTTGATTGTGGTCTAATTATTGCATTTTAAATATATCAAATCATCACATCCTACACCATGAATATATATAATTTTTATTTGTAAAGAAAAAAATTTAAAAAAATATATAAAAATTAAAAAACTATTTCCTAAACTATAATTTGTCAAATATAAATATTTGATAGGCAAGAATTCAGCAGAATGGTTATTTGTTTTCCCCCAAAATTCTACTGTCAATAACAAAATATGACACATCAACTTTTCCAGGATCCATGGAATATTAAAGTACTTACTTAAGCATTTTGGTGGTTCTGACCACTGTCCATTTCTATATGTTATTCGCTTGTTTCCCTGAAGTGCATACAAGTTCTGGCATTGATACTCAACTGAGGAGCCTCGAGCATAGACTTGCAATGGGAATGAAGTAATGTCTCCATTGTCAATAGCTGGAGGGGTCTTACATTTTCCTTGAGAATCTAAAAAACATCATTTGATACATTGAGAGAGCAATTCAAATTATAGTTTAAAGTAAGGCAAAAAAAAATGCAGCACTTTATATAATATCAATGCCTTTGTGATTTCTGTGCCAATAAATAATTAGAGGGACAAATTTTAATTAAATTGCTACATTTTTAAGGTCTTCTTCCTTTCTCACTGAAAGCACACATAATGCATTAAGAAGGATGTCAGCTTTGCAGTATTCCAGGCTTAAGAAATGCCTTTTTTTTTTCTTTCTTATTTCAGCATATTATGGGGGTACAGAATGTCTTTTTCAGTAAAAAAAAATGCTGAACAGACAGTTAAGATAGAGAATATCTTTTGTTTTTATACACAACATGCTATAGAGGAGATTAGATCTTTAGTCATTTTTTTCTCTTAGTTTTCATTTTGATTACAGAAGAAACATCAGCTCCCTGAAAAAACTCAAAGAATACAAATTTATAGAAGGTAAAAGAGAGTGGTTGGCTTCCTGATATGTACAAAATGAGAAACTTACTCCTTCTGTTAAGTACAGCTCAAACTCCTGACAATAATGTAAAAAACAAAACAAAACGCACATTAGAGAATTCTGAAGGATGTAGAGAATTCCATCTGGTGAGAGACTTCCCTGGAATCAAGGAATGACAAAACAGTGTGTCATCTCTATTGTCTTTAGCCAAATATTCAGAAAAGAAGCTACTAGGCAAGATCAAGTCTTTCGTTTTCTGTTTCTGTTTTTTAACAATATCTTGCCTACCACAGGAAAACGTCATGAGAAACCAATGCCCACCCTTCACATCCCCTGTCAGACACAGGTCAGATTAGGAACTACCCTCCCACCCACATGATGAAGTGACTAGACATTTCCCCCTTTGCCTGTGGGGTCAGCAGAGGCCAAGTGAGAAACCTGGACTTGCACCTGTCATGGTAGTAATGGAACGGGTTAAACAAAAGATTTAAATACAATCTAGACTCTCAAAATCTAATATGCACAATATCAAGAATAACTTAATCAAAATCACTCATCATATTATGGACATGGAAATCTCAAAAAAAGAAAGACAAGCAATAAAAGACAATACGGAAATGACATAGATACTGAAATTGACAACACTTTTAAAATCCCAAGAGGAATTAAAATACTGAAAAGCATACCAGAATTTTTTTAAAACCTCACTGGATAGGCTTAATAGTATAACAGAATGGGAGATGACAGGAGGATAAATCCACACACTTGAAGACAGAACAATATAAATTACCCAGTCTCAAAATAGACTGAAAATTTTTAAAATGGACAGTGCTTCAAAGATCTTTAGAACAGAGCCAAAAACTCAAGATCCTGAAAGAGAGGAGAGTCGGTGTTTGGTTGAAAAAAAACCGCCAAATAATAATGGCTGAGAATTTCCCAAATTGGGCATAAGGCATAATTTTACATATTCTAGAGGCTGAGCAAACTCCAAACAGGATAAGCTCAATCAAATTCAGACCAATACACATTTAAAAAAACTACCTAATGAAAAATAAAAACATCTTGAAAGCAGCTAGATAGAAATATGCATTTCCTACAGGGACCATGGATTCGAAAGACAATGGGTTTCTTATCCCTCTCCATGGAGACATTAGGAAGTGGCACATTGTTCAAGTACTTAAAGAGAAGGACTCTCAACTCCAAATTTCATATCCAGTGACACTATCCTTTAGGAATAAGGAGATTAATAGAGAGTCAACGGGAAACCAAGAGAATTTGTCTTCAGCCAACTTACTCTTAAAGATTACTAAAGGAATCCTTCAAATAAAAATAAAAAGATGACAGAAAGAGATAAAGACTTCAGGAGGTAGGAAAGAACAATGTAATTGATAAAAGAGGGGTACATATAATAGATGGTCTTTTCTCTCATGAGTTTGTTCAATTATGTTTGATGTTTGCAGCAAAATGATGTCCTTTCATATGTTGCTCAATGTATGTACAGGAAATACCAAAGGCATTCATATTCAAAATGTGGGGAGAGTCAATGGATCTAAATGAAAGTAAGGTTTCCATATTTCAATTGAAGGGTAAAATTTCAATATTGGTAGAAAGTGATAGAAAGTTACATATCTACAGCAATAATTTTTTAAAGGGATAAAACAAACTATAGAGATATACTTAAAAGTAATAAAGATGAATAAAAATGAAATTCTTTAAAATTGTTTCCCAAAGGAAGGGAGGAATAGGGAAACGGGACTGAGAAATAGAGGAAAACACACAAATAAAATAACAAGCATACAGCCTACTATGCCAATAATTACTTTAACTATAAATGTTCTAAGTACACCAGTTAAAAGGCCAAGAATGGCATGATGGATATGCAGACAAAACCCAACTATGTGCTGTCTCCATAAAACTCACTTCAACATAAAAACATGGGTATATTCTAAGTAAAAGAATGGAAAAAACATACCAGGCAAAGATTAATTTTAAAAAGATGGAAGTGGATAATATCAAATTTCCTATGTTGGTTTCCCTTATTTCCTGAACTCTAAACTATCAAGTGCCCATGACTATGTGCTAAGAATTCTTTGTATAAATATAATAGTTCCCTGGAGGAGTCAGTGAGTCACATATCTTCAGTATAACCTATATACTGAAGATTCCCAAATTTGTGTCACATTGTAGGATCTCTCTTTAATTGCCTTTATCCATCTCAAAATGGCTATCTCTTAGGACTGGCAGTTGTACACAATGTGTCTTGTACACTTTTATTCCTCAGAAATATCTGTCTTAATGCCTAAGGTCAAAAATGATTCCAGATTCTAATTGTTCCTTTACTGTGGTTGAATTTTTCCTGAAAATAATATATTGCATGGTTGAGTTCACCCAAAGAATTAAATTTTAAGCACCATCATTTTATTTTCATTTGAAAAATATATACTACAAGAATTACTTCACTTTATTGATATGAACATCTTTTACCCCTAGTATATTCTCAAAGTATTTTGGAGAAATAGAATATTCTACCTTTGCATTGAGGTGGTTCTGTCCAAGTTCCGTTTAGACACATCACTTCTACATCCCCATACATGTCATAAGGTCTCTCACATTCATAGCGGACTCTCTCGCCAGGTGGATACCTACTCATCGGTGTTGATATTATATTAGCATTTTCCACTGTGGGTGGATTCACACAGAAAATATCTGAATAGAAAGACAAAAGACATTCCCACCTAGTGTTCATTTGAAGTAGCAAATCAATGAACAGGATTGCAAATGCCTTTCAAGGGGGATTTTAATTCAACAGATAATCTGTCATAAAATATTTTGTTGATTTGAATAAATTTACATATAATATTGAGGAAAAGGAGACAAAGCAGCAATTTTTTGTAAGTTTATAAGCTTCCACATTCTTATTTCCCTTCTCCCTGCCTCACTAGAACATTGACAGACTTTTGTTTTTCCTTTTGGAGATCAGTGAAAATGACAGTTTTCCTGGACTTTTCTCTTTGAGTTTTAGTATAATAAATAGTACAAGTTCTATAAACACAACATGAATTTATAAAATTAAAAACAAATCAAAACAACTAGATTATATGTATATAATAATTATGTGTATATAAGCAATAAACAGATTCCCTTCCATTTCCATTCCCAGGGGCAACTATTGTTTTATGGATGTAGCAGGTACCTACCAGTATATGATCATAAAGTTTTAATTTTACTGAAATGGATTGCAGACATTCTTTTGCATTCACTTTTTAAATTCAAAATAACATTGCAGGCATCTTTCCCTGTCAATTAATGTTTCAACTTCACGCTAACATTGGCTGGGATACATTCCACTGTATTGATTTAATTCCCTTGGTATATGACCAAGGACATGGATATGGAATTACCAAATAAGTAATCTTATCTAAAATAAATCGTTCTATTTCTTGTTTCATTGAGTTCCTGTCCCTGCTTTCTCAGACCAAGTCCTTCCCCCTTTAAACTACTCAAAGACCTTGCTCCATGCATTATCCCCTTTCTTTTGTGGTATCAATTTCTCCTTCTCTAATAATCATTCACCAGCCTACAAAGAAGCTGAAATGTAACAGCTCAATAAGGTAACATTTTCCTCTATCCACACGCCCTTTCCAGCTACTGCCTCATTTCTCTACTCCCTTTAGGGAAAACCTGTTTGTTTTATTTAATCAAAAATGGCCAACAGGTGGAACAACCTGTTCAAACATGGTATTTGGCTATGATGATAATAATAAGCATCAACAAGGTGGTTAATCAGTAATGTCATAAATTCTAGTAAAACAGAGGTACAACAAATTATAGAAATTTCTCAATGTGGTCTTAATATGGGTTTACAGCTTGATATCACTGAGACATAAATTAGAAACAACTAAAAATTTTTTTATTTGTCATAACCTATAAAAATTAATGTAAGATAGAATTCTTTCTCTCTCTTTCTCTCTCTCTATATATATTAGTATGTATAAATAGATAAAAAGATATTGTATTAGAGTTACAATGAGATTTTGTACATATTTTGTTCTATACAACTTCAAGGATGCTGTTTACACAACTATGGTGTGTAACTATCTATTTTGGAACATAGACTGATACTATTTTATGTTGATTACTTTGCACTGGTGGTAACCTTGCTATGCTGAGAAAACCAAGCCAAAGGTAAGTTGTTACAAGCAAATCATGGTGGTATTTAAAAATAGTTTTATCTGAGGCCCGGCATGGTGGCTCACGCCTGTAATCCTAGCTCTCTGGGAGGCCGAGGCGGCGGATTGCTCGAGGTCAGGAGTTCGAAACCAGCCTGAGCAAGAGCGAGACCCCGTCTCTACTATAAATAGAAAGAAATTAATTGGCCAACTAATATATATACAAAAAATTAGCCGGGCATGGTGGTGAATGCCTGTAGTGCCAGCTACTTGGGAGGCTGAGGCAGAAGGATCGCTTGAGCCCAGGAGTTTGAGGTTGCTGTGAGCTAGGCTAACGCCACGGCACTCACTCTAGCCTGGGCAACAAAGCGAGACTCTGTCTCAAAAAAAAAAAATAGTTTTATATGATAAAGAGGTTCCTTAAAGATTTATTTGCTATCTGTAAGAAAAATTAGTGTAAGACATGTTTTCCTTCACTTCTGCAGATCCAAATAAAGGCATGAAGCTGCTTGCATATAAAATGTATGTATGACTTTTTAAAAAATGTGCCTTCATTCTATGACAGTAACATTAAGCAAAAGCCAATACAGTTTTTTAAAGTCTGTGATGTAGGGCCGGGCGCGGGCCTGTAATCCTAGCTCTCTGGGAGGCCGAGGCGGGCGGATTGCTCTAGGTAAGGAGTTCAAAACCAGCCTGAGCGAGATCCTGTCTCTACTATAAATAGAAAGAAATTAATTGGCCAACTAATATATATAGAAAAAATTAGCCGGGCATGGTGGTGCATGCCTGTAATCCCAGCTACTTGGGAGGCTGAGGCAGGAGGATTGCTTGAGCCCAGGAGTTTGAGGTTGCTGTGAGCTAGGCTAATGCCATGGCACGCACTCTAGCCTGGGGAACAAAGTGAGACTCTGTCTCAAAAAAAAAAAAGTCTGTGATGTACAATGTTAATATTGCCACAAAATGTAAATCCACATATTATGATTAGTTGAATGAAATAATTTTATCAGCATTTTCACAACTTGTTTTCGAGAGTAAAATGTGCGCAAACTTTGGAAAAAGTTTAGAACCCTTGTCCTAGATCTTTTCTTTGTCTTTGCTTTCTTCCTGTATTTCTCTTAAGTGATTGCTCATTCTTCTATATCTTTCTCCATTATTTCGTCATCCAGTCTCTTTTATTTCTTCCCTTGCCACACTAATCTTCTTTTCCTGGAGCCGTTTGTCTCTAAACATTCATTAATAAATAGTTGACAGAAAATACAAGCTTCTATCTATAGGTCGAAACAGTTCAGGATTTAAATGAAAAATCTTTATAGTTTGCATCATTGTTAAAGATAAAAGTGAAAGGAATCTACTGGTTTCACCTTCTCATTTTGCAGATGACTAATCTGAGCTCAAACAGGTGAAATCATTTACACTTGGACACGGAGGTAACATTTCTCAGAGGCGGGTCTGGGTCTGGTTGCCCTCATCCACTCCACGTGGGGTTCTTGGGCCATTAGTCAACCTTGGCTACAGAGTGTTCAGATGAAGACTTCCTGCTGCTACTCTGGTAACCTCAGTAGGTTGCATTGTATTTGTGGAATATTTAGCAACAGGCACGAAGGGGAAGGCAGTAATATTCTGAGAATTTGAATAATAAAATATTATGTTCCTTGTCTAAATAAATAAAGATATGCTACATTTTTGAAACAAGTTAATTTTGGCAACTTAGTTTCTAAATATGTTTGCCTACTAAAGGGAGCCAGGACTCATTGGAGAAGTGGCTGATTCCAGTTCTGGAGCAGGGAAAATATGAATTAAGCCTGGGATATTTTTTGTATCCCAAAGCAAAAGAATTGTTCAAAGGCTAACAAAGTCTTACAAAATGTACACAGGAGCCAGCTTGTATGGGTCACAACTGGTCTAATGTAATTTGTCAAGCTTCTAAAATATAATTGTTGGATTGACAATAGCCATTATCCCACAAATGGAAGAGAGCTTGTTCATGAGATAGAGAGGGAATGGAAATATTCATACTATACCAAAGCCTATAAATCTTGAACCCAGTCCAATTACTGGACTTTTAAGGTATGAAGTTAATAAATTTGTTCTTTCATTTTTTTTTTTTGCAAGTGTTAGTCATGTTTAAGCCCCTTGTAATTGAAAGAGGCCTTGACATAACTGGCTTTTAAAAAACTATCACAATTCAAGATGTTTTAAAAGATGCTATTTTTTAGAGGTTTAGATTTAAAAATTGAAGATATGTAATAATATCTGATAACATAAAAAATTTTAAGTGTACTAGAGACTCTATTTCCTGATAGCATGGACTAACTAGTATCAATATATCTTCCCACTGAAAAAAAGTTAGAAAATTGTACAAAATATACTTCCAGAATGCTGGAAAGCAGGTAGCACAGAACTATGGTGACGAAGACAAGAAGGAAACCTCAAAACCACCGATCACCAAAGCACAGTCTACGATGATCTCAGTTCTTTGCTGGGAGGCATTTTCTAGACTGCCTTCAGGAAGGGAGAAGCTATGCAGAGATCGGTGTTGTGCCTCAGTTGAGACCAGTAAGATCAGTTTTGGAGACTGTGGTGGCTAGATTTACTGGGCAGAATAACAAAGTGTTATGAAGAAAAATAGCTATGGAAGTTTTCATGGGTGTCCTTGAGTTTTTGGTTGAAGACTGAGCTGTGCCGGCAAGGGCTGCACCCCCAGTGGGCTGGGCAGAGAACAAGTACTGGGCAGCTATAAACATGAGGAATTGCAAGAGTTGACTCAGGTCTGGGAGGTGCCATCACTTTCCAAAGGAATTGTTTCCCGAATTCCAAGCCACTCGCAGATAAACATACCTCTCCTGAGTCTGAACTTTTTAAAACCTAGAAATTGATGATTTATTGAGTTGATATGAATTTATTTATTTTATTTATTTTTTTTTGAGACAGAGTCTCACTCTGTTGCCCGGGCTAGAGTGCCATGGCGTCAGCCTAGCTCACAGCAACCTCACACTCCTGGGCTCAAGCAATCCTCCTGCCTCAGCCTCCCAAGAAGCTGGGACTACAGGCATGTGCCACCATGCCCGACTCATTTTTCCTATATATTTTTAGTTGGCCAATTAATTTCTTTCTATTTTTAGTAGAAACAGGGTCTTGCTCTTGCTCAAGCTGGTTTCGAGCTCCTGACCTTGAGCGATCCACCCGCCTCAGCCTCCTAGAGGGCTAGGATTACAGGTGTGAGCCACTGCGCCCAGCCTAATATGAATTTAAATAAGGGTAAATATTTTTTAAATGTCTTAGCTACAAGACATTTTAACTAGAATTGGACTTATTTTCATTTTAATACTTTAGTTTTGTCATCAATTGTTGTCATCTAACTTGATAATCATGATATAAACAATAAACGGGTGTTACTTTAACATAAAGGGATGCCTTCCAAGTGAATTCTTGTCTACTATTTCTACTTAGTACATACATTTGATTTATACAGGTAGGGAAATTATGTTATTTGCAAATCTATTTAGACACAATTGGAACTAGAAATTAAATGAATGATAGAAATATGTGGCAAAAACCTATATTTAACCCCTGAGAATAGATTTATTTCTTAAAAGAAAAACACACAAAACATATCAGGATCTGAGAGAACAGCATTTTACTTACTGGAGGGTATGCATTTGGGAGGAGTGGACCAGCCGCTTTCTGCACATGAAATGGTGCTCTCACCATGTTGGAGACTGTAGCCTTTATCACAGACAATTTGTACCGTGTCACCTTCCACGTGTGTTTGTCCCGAAGATGCAGAATGACCATTTTCCACAAAAGGAAAGAAACATAGTCCTAAGGACCAACAATTGATTAATGTTCAAGATGGAAGTGGTAAAAAAAAAATGCATTTTGTAATATTTTAAAAGGAATAGAAAACTTTCAAAACTGAAATCAAGTATAAAAAATTTCAAAAGAATTTAGGCCATGCTACTATGTATATGATGAAATATATATTTTTCTAATATATGCATATATGAAAGAAAATATTTTATGCCATTTTTCTATGTTTTTCATAAGGAAAATTTTATGTTCATAAACTTTTATAGGTAAAAAGTATTAATATCTATTCATATGTCTATGTCTCTCTTAAGTCTCATAAACATTACTTACAGGAGAAAGACCAGGACCATCTCCTTTGTTGGCTCTATTCTGTCTCTCATTGCTTTTCTTTTATAACACACCTGTCATCATGTGGTTATGCTCTATACTCTCATTGAATAATTAATATAGATACAATTTAAGGGACCAAACAAGTGATTTATGGAAAATATGAAAGTGAAAGTATTAAACCTTACTTTGCAATATTGGAGAGAACAGTAAATCAAAAACAGAATTACTGGTTACTAAAGGACTATAGTATAAATGTAGCCCTTTGCTCCCATCCTCCAATTATGTTCTACCCATCCTTCAGACTTCATTCTACAGCATTCCTCACGTATTCACTGTGCACGTGAGTAGCAGTGCAGGCTATGAATGCTAACTGCTTCTTGCAGGCCTCCTTCATGGAACCACTTGGTCTAAAAGCACAAAGTAATTTTTCTTGTCTCTACATTAGGATAAAACTTTATGAATATATTTATTATGGGTCACATATGTGTGTGTGTGTGTGTGTATGAACATATTCACACATAAGTACCTATATACGGTCATGTGGCACAAAACAAATGACGTTTTGGTGAACGACTGGCTGCACATACAACTGTGGTCCTTTCAGATTGAAACGGAGCTGAAAGCTCCCTATTGCCTGGTGATGTTACAGCCGTTATACATCATACACTTATGCATGCATTCGTGTGTATAAAATGACCTTTTAAAGGAAAAATATGGTCAAACTGCTGCCAAATGAATATAAGAAATATTAGGAAAGAAATATTAGTAGTCAAATATAATAATCATCAGTTTTTTAAAATTAAAATATTTCTATATGTACAGTACTTCTAGATAATGCAAGGAAGTTGACACATTTATTTTTCATTAGATTTTCGTAAAAGGTATTTCAAAACAGAGGGATGAAGGACATGTCCCATCTTTGCTGCCCGGCTTGCCCTCGCATCTGTGATTGTTGAGACCCTGTGATCCCGTCTAGCACGCCCTTCTCTACTCACTGAATGAATAATCACCTAATGATCAGGGATTTACTCACTGAGACACCTCGGTGTTGGTGACCATCCTTCTTCTGTGCATGTTATGCGAGTCCAAAAGGATTTTGAAGGAGATGCAAAATTATATTCACAGGAATAGTAGAAAAATCTCCCTGTGTAAGCTGGGAAAAGTGGCTTCTCTTCATCATAGAGAATTCCATGGTTTATTTTTGGAAAATTACAAAGTCCCACTGGAAAAATAAATCAAAACCAAAGAATCAAAATACTAATTTACATTAGTGAATCAAGAAATGAGATTTTAATCATCTTATTGATGATTTTTTCTTTCGTTTAGCTTAAATGCATGTAGCTTAAATGCCTTCCAGCATACTCAACTAGTCTGGAACAAGGAAAGATTTTTAATTAACAGAACAGGAGTATTTGAGGAGGCCATTGTCAATTGAAAATGAAATTTACGTGTTGGAGTGATATGAAAAATGAACTCTTGCAGTATCTTCAAGAAGAAAACCCCCACACAACAATTTAAGAATCAGAGTTTAAGAGCAGCAAACCTCCCTGATCTACACAGTGTGTGGCAGAGGAATGATAGGGTTTGTTTTGGTCTCAGTTCACTTATTTTTTTCTATTCTTCTTATTGACAATCATAGGAAGTATCTCCACCAGAAGTCTCTGCCCTGTCTATATTTTTCTAGTGCAGTAAAGATGTTGGGTAGGTAGTTTCTTTTATTAATTAATAAAAGAAACTATATTTATTATTAATAATTTATTATTATTTATAATTTATAATATTTATTATTTATAATTTATTATATTTATTATTTATTATATTTATTATTATTACTAATTTATTATTAATAATAATAAATTTATTAATATCATCATTTTGGTTATTTTCTGGTTGCAAAGTTAATAGAGAGAGTACAAAGAATCACTAACAACAACTGAACCAAGAGAAAACTACAGGTAAATTTCTCATATAATTATACCTTCTATCATAGTGTGTTTGGGTATATATAAATGTGTGTGTGTGTATACAATCGACCCTCCATATCCATGGATTCTGCATATGCGTATTCAACCAACACGGATCAATAATACTGGAAAAAAGGAAAAAAACATTTACTGGTAATAAAAATGTCAATAAAACAATAAAAAGAACAGAAATAAAATGCAGTATAACAACTACTTACACGGCATTTACATTATGTTAGGTGTAACGAATAATCTAGAGATAACTTAGGTTATATGGGAGAATTTATATACAACTACTATGACATTCTATATAAGTCACCTGAGCATCCTCAGAATTTGGTATCTGCAGGGGATGAGGAGGGTCCCAGTACCAATCCTTTGTGGTTGCTAAGGAACTATGATACATATGTATATAGACACTTAACACAAACATTCATACACTCTATGGTTCAAGATATATTTAAACAATTTAGGCAATGTGTGAACTTTTTATAGCTTTCTAATCTGGTTTTTGTGTTTTTGCCTATATATGTATTAGATATTTTTTTAGAACAGTTAGATTCACGGCAAAACTGAGCAGAAGGTACAGAAAGTCCCTACATACCACTACCCCTCCCCCAACACACAAGCACAACGCCCTCCACTATGACATCATTGTCAGCCAGAGTCTGCAGTTCACATGAGAGTTCACGCCTGGTATTGTATTCCATTTCTGAGGACAACAGTTAAGTTCATTTTTTAGTTCAAGCTATTTCCTCAATATAGTATTGCTGTTTAAGAAATAGATTTATTTTTTTTCCTTATTTAAAAAAAACTTGGAGAAATTCAGCTCACTATTCAGGGTATTTCCTTGTTTTCACCTACCTAGAAGTAATGTTTGATGTTGCACAAAATTTATAATTATTAATTCCTGTGGTATTTAAGCTTGTGAAACTTGAAGTTTATTTACACTTTTTAAAAATTGACATTAGATACTTTTGAAGAAAATATTGGGGAAAAGACTCACTTGTATCCTGACAGTATTACCTACCATAATTCTTTTTCAGATATCCTTTGCCTCCCCCCAAAATTATAGTACTTTATTTCCATGTATTTGTAACTACATAGTTTTGCTATCGAGAATAACTTTGCTTCCATTCTCCAGTTATACTCTACCCAATCTTCAGAAGTCATTCTACAACACTCAGCAAATATTCACTGTGCACGTCAGCAATGGTGCTGGCTATGAATGTTAACTGCTTTTTGCAGACCTCCTTTGCAGAACCACTCACTCCAAAAGTATAAAATAATGCTGGGTAACATCTCTGCTGTGCTGCCAGTTGCACAAAAGTACAGCACATACAATTATACACAGTACATATTACTTGATAATGACAACAAATGGCTATGTTTCTGGTTTATGTATTTACTACACAATACTTTTTATCATTACTTTAGCTTGTACCTCTTCTACTTATAAAAAGAAAACTGAACTGTAAAATAGCCTTAGGTCTTCAAGAAGTATCACAGAAGAAGGCATGGTTGTCATGGGAGGTGACAGCTCTATGCATGTCGTCGCCTCTGAAGACCTTCCAGTGGGAAAAGATGTGGAGGTGAAGGACAGTGATATGGATGATCCTGACCTTGTGTAGGCCTAGACTAATGTGTGCGTTTGTGTCTTAGCTTTTAATAAAAAAGTTTAAAAAGTAAAAAACAATTAAATGAGTTTCAAGGCCACAGAAATAATGTTTTGCAATTTTTTTTTTTTTTTTTTTTTTTTTTCTCGCTTTGTTGCCCAGGCTAGAGTGAGTGCCGTGGCATCAGCCTAGCTCACAGCAACCTCAAACTCCTGGGCTCAAGCAATCCTCCTGCCTCAGCCTCCCAAGTAGCTGGGACTACAGGCATTCGCCACCATGCCCGGCTAATTTTTTGTATATATATTAGTTGGCCAATTAATTTCTTTCTATTTATAGTAGAGACGGGGTCTCGCTCTTGCTCAGGCTGGTTTCGAACTCCTGACCTCGAGCAATCCGCCCGCCTCGGCCTCCCAGAGAGCTAGGATTGTTTTGCAATTTTTGTAAGGGTAAATACTAAAAGGAAAGCATTTAAAATTTTTTTTACATTTTAAAAAATTGACAAAAATTGTATATATTTATGATGTACAACATTGATTTATTTTGGTTTTTAACAAGTTAATGGATGTAAAATTTACATGCAACAAAATTCACCCATTTTAAGTGTAGAAATCGCTGGTTTTTAGTAGGTTTACCAAGTTATGGAACTATAATCACAACCCAGGCTGAGATTATTTCCATCATTGCATGGAGAGCTTCCCGCCCACTTGCAGTTCACCCCCTTCCCACCTCCAGCCTCCAGCAACCACTAAATCTACTTTCTGTCTCTGCAGATTTGCCTCTTTAGGACATTTCATATCATGGAACCACACAACACAGAATCTTTTACATCTGGCTTCTTGCACTTAGCGTGATTATTTTGAGTTGCATCCATGTTATTGCGTGTATAAGTATTTTGTTCAATTATGCATATTTTTCTCTTATGTCAGGTCTGAAGAGAAAGTGTCCAGATAGAACTTCAAACATATGGGAAAACTACCAAGCAACAAAACAGTAAAATAAATACTTTTGAGAAATCACAGAGTAAAGTACAGTGATTGAAACTTCATTTATATACATAGTTTAATCAGTAAGCTAGACCTTGTTAGAGGTTTTGTTTGCAATTTTTTCCATATGGTGGCTTTTATTTCAACATGAATGAGGTGGGACAGTTTTTTAAATATTGCAAGAAATAGTTTACAGTGTTAATAAAAAGTGATATATGATTTCTTTTCATTTTCAAAATATTTTGACAAGCTCAGAAAAAGCATTTTATTGACATTTTATTGGCTTACATGCAAAAACAAAAAAATATCCTTGTGCCCTTGTTTTATTAAAAGATACTTCCGGCCGGACATGCTGGCTCACGCCTGTAATCCTAGCACTCTAGGAGGCTGAGGCGGGCAGATTGCTCGAAGTCAGGAGTTCGAAACCAGCCTGAGCGAGACCAGGTCTCTACTAAAAATACAAAGAAATTAATTGACCAACTAAAAATATATAGAAAAAATTAGCTGGGCATGGTGGCACATGCCTGTAGTCCCAGCTAGTCGGGAGGCTGAGGCAGTAGGATTGCTTGAGCCCAGGAGTTTGAGGTTGCTGTGAGCTAGGCTGACGCCATGGCACTCACTGTAGCCTGGGCAACAAAGTATGACTCAGTCTCAAAAAAAAAAGAAAAAAAAAAACTTAAAAAAAAGATACTTCCCTTTGTTAATAATTAGATTGATATGAGAATTCCCTTATTTTAATTGTATTAAAACTTTTTTATGAAAATACAATTCTGTAGACATTTTGAAGGTGGCCAAATATTTCTAGGATGTTTTTTTCTAGTCAGTGACATTGCAGAGTTTATGCAGAATGACACCAATTCTTTCCCTTGTTAGCTTTATTATATCAGATTTTTCATCATTTAATTCCTCTTTTAATTCTCTACTTGGTGGCTCTTCACACTTTGGAATTTAGAGAAGAGAGAAAATTAATTTTATTCTAATATCCCCTTAGTTGCATATTAGAAAATATTTTCACAAATAAATATTATGATCCCTCATTCAAAATGCACTTATCTATTTATTCTTTTTAAAATACACACACACACACACACACAACTAATGAACACATTTGAGAAAGAGACTGAAATATTCACATCTGTTTTCAACTTACCTTGTCCCTGAACAATGGATACCCACAAGAGTAGAATGACATTGATTAAGAGCAACATACTGGAGAATCCCAACTGTGTATAACTAAACATCCTCCAGTATTGATGGTGTTGCTTTAAATCCTGCCTTCATCCATAGTCAGGAGCCTGACTTTGAATTTCAGAGCGCTACCGGGAAGCTAGCTCAGCAATGACCTTTTGGTAAACATCAAAGTTCATGGGTTGCATGAAATAACTAAATAGTGTCTTATCAATGTTTTCATAGTAATGCTTTGAATTCATCAGCTGATATTTATCTGAGCAAGATAATAGCTGTTGAATTTCCTTGTTGT